TGAGGAATGACTGGACATGAAGTACTTCAGCCAAAAAAATAAATTCAAGAAGAATTCAAAAGAAACAGAATGGCTGCAGCAAAAGGAAAATGTAAAGAAATGATAAATCAAAGACAAAATATAACAAGATGCCATCTTTAAAAGGAAAAATGAGAAAATACTAGCCTACTGAATGATAAAAATATGGTTACAGACATAAATCCCAAGGAAGGTTGCATCTGAATCTAACAAAGACTTTAGATTTGACTTCCAATTCACAGGCAATGAGAAAGAGGAACAAGTTAAAGCACATTACAAACAAGCATTCAGATAAAATCCAGAATATGAAAAACAGCTTAGGACCACTGTCCCACACCCTCAACTGGTCAACAGCATGGGGAAAGGAAAAAAAAAAAGTTGCATATAAATCCATTTACCACATATAAAAACTGGGAAAACTAGATAGTATCTTGTCAAAGACAGACATGAGTGATAAAACCATAAAGAAAAGCAAATAATGAGTTACACAAAATAGAGGACAGATGCCATAAGGAGACTGCAGTCAGGAAGTGCACATGGGGGCTTCTAAGGTACTGAGCGTGTTCTATTATTGTAGCTAAGCAGAGGGTATAGAAGTGTTTTTAAGATGAAATGTATGTGCACTCTTGTATATGTGATAGATTTAATAATGGAAAAAAATTTAGAGTTGATTACTATCACAATGGAGATTTTAAAAAATATATTTAGAGTTTAAATAATGATGGTTTGGGCAAATATTCATGTATCTAACCATCTCCTAAAAAAGTGTGAGAACAGAATAAAGGTGCAAATTATTTTGTGACACCCAAAACAAGGGAGTAAGCCAAAAGAGAAGGGGGTTCAGACAAGAGGAGCTCCAACATAGGAGAAGCATAAAGGGAATTGTAAGAGTAGCAGCAAAGGAAAACATCAGAACCAAAGGGATCAGGCCAGACACTGCAGGAGAGCAGAGGACTCTAGAATTCGGAGGAATGATTCCAAGAAAACCAAGGAACAAATTACCTGATACATTTCACCATGTGGAAAACTTCATCAAGAAGGATTTTTTTTTTTTTTTTGAGTTGGAATCTTACTCTGTCGCCCAGAGTGGAGTGCAGTGGCCGCTCCCGGCCACCGCAGCCTCGACCTGCTGGGCTCCAGAGATCCTTCCACCTCAGCCTTCCAAGTAGCTGGAACTACAGGAGCGCGCTACCACACCCTGCTAATTTTTCGATTTATTGTAGAGATGAGGTCTCGCCAAGTTGCCCAGGCAGGTCTCAAACCCGCGGATTCAGGCAATCCACTCACCTCAGCCTCCCAAGGCGCGGGATTACAGCCTGAGCCACCGAATCCGGCTCAAGAAGGATTTTTATAGAGGTTTTTGAAGATATGAGAAAACTCAGAAGTTAAAATACACCTGAGTTAAGGTGTTTGTGTTTTTGTTTTAAAGGAGGGGGCAGTTATTAACTCTAGAGGAAATAAAATTAATCCAAGTAAGAAAATATCATCAAAATACCTAGCTCAGCAAGGAACAATATGTAGATGATCATAATAAAGAATATACAGCAAATGAATGTCACACAAAAAAAAAAGAACAGAAAGAGCAGGGTGAGAGTGAACAAAACTCGTCATCCACCATGTTAAGAAATCAATAGACAGTTCTAAAACTGGTGACTCAGGAACAAGTAGTACACACTGCATATTATTTAGAAATCCAGAGACAAATGCCAGAAGAAACAGCTAAAAGAATTTAAAGAGCTCCCTTCGGATGGCAGGAGCTGGGGCAGACAAGGAAATTAGACATGAGCAAGAGACTGCTGCTGGTATTTTTTTCTTCTTGTTGTTAAATCTTGTTAGCAACTATTTATTTATTTGTTTGTTTTCTCTTTTAACAAACTTTTCATATACATTTGATTTAAAAAATGAATGATTTGGGGGTAGGACGTCGCCTGTCACTGAAGTGATCACACAGATACTGTCTTTTCTCCTATGTTGTAAAGAGACTCAGACACATTCACAATCGTACAGATAAACTGCACTAACCACTTTCACAACAATTAACCTATCCAATATTCAAAGCAACCCTATGTAGAATCATAAGCTCAATTTCAGAAGAGGAAAATGAGACTCAAGGATATGTGACCTCCTGAGAGTAACAAACTAATAATCAGGTAACACACAGGCGTAAGACTGAAGGAGTCTCAAGTTCAGAGGCAATTTCACTCTATCATGCCAGCCTTCAAAGGGAAGTATACAAAATTATTTATAGGGTCAGCTTCCAACAGGAAGATTAATAATGTAACTCTAAGGGGACAGGGAAGAGCTGAACCACCATCAGCTAAGCTCCCTATTCAGTGCTGCTGCCTCTGTACATCCTAGGATTCATTAATGATACCTTAGATTTACACTGGGCTTTACCTTCTGTTAGAGACGTTCACATATATCTATATCTTCTTATTTGAGGAACACTTTCTACTCACCTGCAATGCTTTGTTGGCTTCTTTTATATCTTCTATTTTAAGTTTTGACCTAAAAAGATTACAAATAGGTCCAAAGGTCAGTATACATATTTAAATATAGAATAATTCATTAGGTACTGGTTTTTCATAGGATAAAAACTTCATATAGTATATGACCTTAAACGATTTTCTCTGGCTAGTGGAATATTTAATATTTCCCTATATTTTCTAAGTGTCTTAAAGCAAAAATCTGTTTTTTAAATTTAAAACTTGCCTGGGCAACTTGGCGAGACCTCATCTCAACAATAAATCAAAAAATCAGCCGGAAGTGGTAGCGCATGCCTGTAATTCTGGCTACTCGAAGGCTGAGGTGGAAGGATCGCAGGAGCCCAGCAGGTCGAGGCTGCGGTAGCCAGGAGCGGCCACTGCACTCCAGTCTGGACGACAGAGTGAGACTCCAACACAAAAAAAATAAAAAATAAAAAATAAAAAAATAATAAAACTTGCTTTTTAAAGGAAAGAAGTGTTGGCATTTTCACATGATCATGACAGTATTAATAGCTATCATTCACTGTAGGTTTACTGTGTGCTAGACACACTCTATACTTTGCATACATAATCTCATTTAATCTTCATAAAAGCCTATTTTAAAGATGCTGAAGTTTAGGCACTTGTAACAGGCCACAGAGATGCTAACTGGGGAAGCCAGGATTTGAACCTTGGTCTATGACCCCAAAGCCTACATGTTAACCATCAAGCACACTATTTTCTTTTAGTTTTTTTTTTTTTGATCTTTTGTGTATGCTCATGTTTTTTGAGAGAGATAGGGTCTCACTGTGTTGTACAGGCTGGTTTGAACTCTTCGCCTCAAAGGATCCTCCTGCTTTGGCCTCCCAAAGTGCTAGAATTACAAGTGTGAACCATGATGCCCAGCCCATACTATTTCTCTAGCAGGTACAAAAGTCAGTGCTGAGGAAGAAAATACTGCAGACAACATAGTTATGATGTTTTTCCACCACTTGAAAATACAATACGCTTCTGCACTGCTGGTGGGAATGCAAACTAGTGCAACCTCTTTGGAAGACAGTGTGGTAATTTCTGAAAGAACTAGAAATTGGCTACTTGGAAGGCTGAGGCGGAAGGATTGCCAGAGTCCAGCAGGTCGAGGCTGTGGTGGCCGAGAGCATGCCACTGCACTCCAGTCTGGGTGACAGAGTAAGACTCCAACTCAAAAAAAAAAAAAAAAGAACTAGAAATTGACCATCCCTATGACCCAGAAATTCCCCTATAGGGAATATACCCAGAGGAACTGAAATCATTCTACAAAAAAGGTAACTGCACACACATGTTTGTTGCAGCTCTATTCACAATAGCAAAAACATGGAACCAACCAAGCCGCCCACTGAAGGTGGACTGGATAAAAAAACGTGGTACATATACACAATGGAATATTACGCAGTCACTAAAGAAGGACAACATATGGATTTCGCAGCAACTTGGATGGATTTAGAGTCTATCATACTCAGTGATCTATCACAGAAACAAAGAACAGAGTATCATATGTTCTCACTCATAAGCGGACCTTGAACAATTATCATAATACTATAAGAAAGGGATTGGCAGTAGTGGAAAACTGCCAGGGAGGAGGGGGGTGGGATTGGCAGTTGAGGAAAACTGCCAGGGTAGGAAGGATCACACCTCATCAACAAGGGCACCTGCATAATGAACATATGCATACCTAACCCTGAGTTGTACCCCACATCTTTAAAATAAAATAAAATAAACAAAATGAAAAAATAAAATAAAGAAAATACACATGTTAGCTGGGTCATACCTCATCAACAAGGGTACCTGCATAATGAACATCTGCATACCTAACCCTGAGTTGTACCCCACATATTTAAAATAAAATATAATAAATAAAACAAAATGAAAAAAGAAAATACATATGTTAGCTGGGTGCAGTGGCTCACATCTACAATCCCAGCACTTTGGGAATTTGAGGTGAGAAGATCTTGAGCTCAGGAGTTTGAGGCCATCCTGGGCAATAGAGTGAGACCTTATCTCTACAAAGTATTAAAAAATTAGCCAAGTGTGGTGGTATGTGCCTATAGTGCCAGCTACTCAGAAGGGTGAGGTGGGAGGATCACATGATCCCAGAGTTCAAGGCTGTAGTGAGCCATGATGGTGCCATTGCTGGATGACAGAGTGAGACCTCAACTAAAAAAAAAAAGAGAAAAATGTTTGTTAATGAAAATGCAGGTTATGAAAAGTAATATTTAATTATTAGTAATCCACTACATATAATCTTCTCTACATATGAGTGCGCATGTGTATTTTAAAAGGAATCATTATTTACCAAAAAGTATGAAGGAAATGAACAGGCAGTTTACAGAAAATAAATTACAAATACAAACAGCATGAGTTTTATTCACTGGCTCTTTTCATTTAACAGCATATCTGAACAGCTTACAGCTACTAACTTGTTACTATCTGCCATATCATGATATTAAATGGTTACTTGATATATACCATGAACAAGATAAAATAGTTTGTATAATTATTATCTACTGTTGAACTTTCAAGTTGTTTCCAATTTTTCACCACAAAAGTTGTTAAAATTGGGATGACTATAATATCAGTATTATTTTTCTTATAAATGTAATTATTGGATCAAAAGGTATATCAAATACTAAGTTTTTAATATAGAACATTAGCAACCTGGTTTGCCTGCCAAAAAGTGCCAGTCTTTCAGCCTGGGCAACATAGTGAGACTTCATCTCTACCCCAAAAAATTAAAAAATAAAAAAAATCAGCCAGGCATGGTGGTGCATGCCTGTAGCTCCAGCTACTCATGAGGCTGAGGTGGAAGGAACACCTAAACCCTGGGGGGTCAAGGTTGCAGGTGAGCCCCACCACTGTGACAGAGTGAGATCCTGACTCAAAAAAAAAGGTGCCAGTCTTTTATATCGATTCTTTTTACCTTTTCTTTTTTTTGAGTCAGGGTCTCTGTTGCCCAGGCTGGAGTGCAGTGGCACGCTCATAGCCACCTTCCAAGTAGATGGAACTAGAGTAGAGGCGCATGCTACCACGCCAGGCTATTTTTTGATATATTGTAGAGACAAGGTCTCACCAAGTTGTCCAGGCTGGTCACGAACCCCCGGTCTCAAGCAATCCTCTCACCTGGGTCTCCCAAAGTCCTGGGATTATAGGCTTGAGCCACCATGCCCAGCCTACATATTGATTCTTAGGGTGGAAATAATCAATGTAAAATACACATTATAAAAATATTGACAGAATAATCAATTTTTGGACTAAATTCACATCTATAAAATGTACCTCAAGAAGACTGATCCTGGTGGGGATAATGGCCTAACAATTATGGCTTAACTGAGCTGTACAGAAAAACTGAATATGGAATGAAAGTGACAATGTCATTCACTACAGAAAATACTTTATGAAAACTTACTAGTGCTGACCGGGCACAGTGGCTCACGCCTATAATCCCAGCACGTTGGGAGGCCAAGGTGAGCGGATTGCCTGAGCCCACGGGTTTGAGAACAGCCTGGGCAACTTGGCGAGACCTCATCTCTGCAATAAATCAAAAAATTAGCCAGGTGTAGTGGTGCATACCTGTAGTCCCAGCTACTTGGAAGGCTGAGGTGGAAGGATCACCTGAGCCCAGCAGGTCGAGGCTGCAGTGGCTGTGAGCATGTCACTGCACTCCAGCCTGGGCGATAGAGTGAGACTTGGACTCAAAAAAAAAAAAAAAAAGACTCAAGATGGCCATTCTATGATATATATTGCCAAAGTATCCTGAAAATAATATACAAGATTATCCTAAAAATAATGTACATAATGTACAATAAGAGCATCTTCTCCTTGTACTAGATAGGGAAGAAACATATTAATTGTTTTAATATTATTTACCAATATTTATTTTTGTTTTATTATTTTATTTCATATTATTAACCAATATTTGTTTTAATAATGCTTACCATATTATTTGTTTTAGTTAGCTTTTATTTTGGAACATGCATTTTAAATGTGTAAAAATATTCTGATCTTGGCATGAAAACAGCATAGAAAAGGATCAAAATAAAACATGAGAATATGATCAATATGAAACAATCTATTCTGACATCATAGGAAAATATCCTTAAACTATATAAGCATTGGATAATGCTGAAACTCTTGCTTTTTGTTAATTAGAAAAAAATTTTTTTGAGTCAGGGTTTGACTCTGTCACCCAGGTTGGAGCGCAGTGGCACGAACATGGCTCACCGTAGCCTCAACCTCCTAGGCTCAGGCAATCCTTCTGCCCCAGCCTTCTGAGTAGCTGGGACTACAGGCACACACCACCACACCCAGCTAATTTTTTTTTCTTTTTTTGTAGAGTTGAAGTCTCACTATGATTCCCCGGCTGGTCTCAAACTCCTATGCTCAAGAAATCCTCTTGCCTCGGCCTCCCAAAGTGCTAGGACTACAGGTGGAAGCTACCACACCCAGCCAGAAACCCTTGCTTTTAAGGAAAAAAGAATCTGTAAGTTTCTTTATATGTAAAGGATAGCATGTGCAGAATACCAGATTTGAAAGAGTTCTGGTAACTTTTCTTTTTCTAAACTAAAAATTCTTGCTGGAATTTAAGCCTCAGTGACGATAAGGAAAAGGCTGGTTATCCTTCACATTTTAACTGTCAGTCATTATACACAGATGTACTAATTAGCCTAGATTCTCTTGAATATTCAAACCTAATATTTTATCTATTCCATGTTTTCTTCAAATAGTTCCTTTCAGGTTTATTTTCATTTCTTAACTCTCAAATCAGATAGTCTACTATATAATTATAATTTATTCAGAACAGTCAAGTTTAAAACCTTAAAAAACTTATCAAAAATTCTCTATAAGAATTCCTCAATAACAAACCAATAAGAGTAAACATTTCATTTTTAAAATTATTTTTCTAGTTAGAATTAACCAGTTACATTTAAATGCAGGTTCAGATGATAAAGACTAGAAAGAAACTTTCAGGTCCAACTCATTCATTGGACAGTTAAGAAACAGATACTCTGGTTATGATGAGGAAAGGCACTGTGCAGGTGCTTTCACATGCATACTTTCAGTTAATTAGAAAAAGAACTCTGCAGATTTTAGAACTCTTATTTTTTATTTTTATTTTATTTTTTTGAGTTAGAGTCTCACTCTGTCTCCCAGACTGGAGTGCAGTGGCCACTCCCGGCCACAACAGCCTCGACCTGCTGGGCTCCGGCGATCCTTCCGCCTCAGCCTTCCAAGTAGCTGGAACTATAGGCGCGCGCTACCACACGCTGCTAATTTTTTTGATTTATTGTAGAGATGAGGCCTCACCAAGTTGTCCAGGCGGGTCTCGAACCTGGGGGCTCAGGCAATCCACTCACCTTGGCCTCCCAAGGAGCGGATTACAGGTAGAACTCTTTATAAAGACTGGTGAGTTTAACTACTAGCCCATCTATCCTATGAAATATCTACATGCACTGACATGAAACATCTCTAACATAGGCTGAAAGAGGTTACATAACTGGTCCCAGGTCACAGGAAATGGCAGAGGGGTACTTACCTCGTAAGTAGTGTTATTGAATACTAATTTTTAAATCTATAGCCAGGCATGGTGGTGCACACTTGTAGTTCCAGCTACTCGGAAAGCTGAGGCGGAAGGCTTGCCTGAGCCCAGCAGGTCGAGGCTGCAGTGGCTGTGAGCATGCCACTGCACTCCAGCCTGGGCAACAGAGTGAGACTCTGACTCAAAAATAAATAAGTAAATACATAAATAAATCTAGTACTACCTTGAAAATGCAGAGCTCAAATGGTAAGTTTAAGAATAACTCTTTCTCAAACTTTATTTTTTCCTCCTAACAAAATTAAAAGGTGGCTGAAATAAAAACATTCATGTTTCACATGACACTCCTAACCCATTTAAAATAACAGCTAGACTGGGTGCAGTGGCTCATGCCTATAATCCCAGCACTTTGGGGGGCTGGGGTGAGAGGATTGTCTGAGCCCACGGGTTCCAGACCAGCCTGGGCAATTTGGTGAGACCTCATCTCTACAATAAATTAAGAACAATTAGCCAGGTGTGGTGGTGTGTGCCTGTAGTTCCAGGTGAGCCCAGCAGGTCAAGGCTGTGGTGGCTGTGAGCATGCCACTGCACTCCAACCTGGGGAACAGAGTGAGACTCCAACTCAAAGAAATAAAAAATAAATAAATAGCCGGGCACAGTGGCTCACGCCTGTAATTCCAGCCCTAATTAAATTCTTGTTACTACTGATAAGAACTAGAGTTGAAAAGGATAGACTATGTCCTGACCAAAAACTGATGCTATCTATATTTTAAGGATTATAATCTCAGGCAATAAAGAAAGCTCTGATAAATCTGCATTATAAAAATTCAAACATTAATAAGGAAAAAATATAGGCAATAAAGTAAAAAGACAAATGACAAACTGAGCAAAAAAAGATGTGCCCAATAAACTTGCAAAATCTTGTAAGAAAGAGATGCGCGATCTGGCCAGCTGTGATGGCATATGTCTGTAATCCGAACTTTGGGAGGCTGGGTTGGTAGGATCGCCTGAGGCCAGGAGTTCGAGTCCAGCCTGGGCAAGTGAGACCCTGTGCCTAAAAAATAGATAAATAAAATAAAATAAAGACATGACCAATCCAACCAAAAAAAAAAAAGGTGAAGGATCTGAATAGGCAGTTTACAGAAAATACGTTACAAATACAAAACAGCACATATAAATATAGATATTCAAGTTGGCTCACAGTTAGAGAAATACAAGTCACAATAAGATCTTTAACTATCAGAATGGCAAAAACAGGCACTCTAGAGAGGGTCAGACTGGAGGGGCAAGGCAATTTGGCACTATCACAAATCTTACAGCACCTTCTTTTTGGCCCAGCAATTCACCTCTAAATTTACTTTTCAGAGAAACTCAGCGTGTATATCAATATACATATAGAGATGTTCACAGCAGTACTACTTATAAGAGAATACTACTAAGTTTAATTTACAGCACATCTATCCTATGGAATATCTATATGCACTGATGTGGAAACATCTCTAACACATATTATTATTATTTTTTTATTTTTATTTTTTTGGAAATAGGGTCTCACTCGGTCACCTAGGCTGGAGTGCAGTGGCACAATCCCAGCTCACCACAGCCTCAATCTTCTGGGCTCAGGTGATCTTCCTGCCTAAGTCTCTAAAGTAGCTGGGACTACAGGTGCATACTACCATACAAAATTTATGTATTTTTGGTAGAGATAAGTCTCACTATGTTGCCAGGCTGGTCCTGGAACTCCTGGGCTCAAGCTATTCTCCTACCTCATCCTCCCAAAGTGTTGGGATTACAGAGCCACGGTGCCCGGTCTCTAACATATATTCTTAAATTAAAACCCATAGAAGAACATGTACATAGTGGAGTTACACAGAAGATAGGTCAGCATACAAGAGAAAAAGTTAGTGGTCAAAATAACTGTTGAGAAGTCCTTAATCCATACCACTCAATATAGATTGTTTCATATATCTGAACTTTAGCAGTAAATTTCCTAAAATTTCAGAAACAATGAACCGATTAAGGGAAAGAACAACAGTCTAAAGGAAACATCTAGACATTCAAATGATCATGCCTTTAGTACAACTACAAAGTTTCTAGTATTAAGTGGGAGGCTGGTGAAAAGAATTACAATTCCCTTGTTTTACTATTCCATTAGTTTTTTTTGTTGTTGTTGTTGGTTTGTTTGTGTACATGTTTTTTTTAGACAGGGCTTCACTCTGTTGCCCAAGCTGGTGAAGTGGCTCAATCATGGCTCACAGCAGCCTCAAACTCCTGTGCTCTAGCTATCCCTCTGCGTCAGCCCCCCCAGGTATCTGGGACTATAGGTGTGCACCATCACACCTGGCTAAATTTTTTAAATTTTTTGTAGAGACAGGTTCTCACCCACGCAGTTCTCAAACTCTTAGCCTCAAGCAATGCTCCTACCTCAGCCTCCCAAAGTGCTGAGATTACAGGTATAAGCCACTGTGCATGGCCCAGTCCATTACTTTTTAATATTAAACCTTATGATCTTAAAGATACAAAATTTTTTGGTTTATTTTTTGTTTTGTTTTGTTTATTGCAAGAATTATTCACTGTTGAATCTCCAGCACACAGAGTATGGCACACAGTAGAAGTTCAATAAGTAGCTGACAAATAAATAAATGGGAAATAAGGTAATGAGCACTTAGCATAGGGTCTGCCTCAAGGTGCTCAATAAACAAGTGTTAGATTAGAATCAAAATCGTACTTATCAGAACCGCAGTGCAAATTTTTCTTTGAAAAGTTATAAAGTTATCATTTTCAGAGTTAGTATTTCCTTTCATGGTTCTAGTAAATTACTCCTTCTTATGCCCTTGGAAATTGGTCTCATTACCTTTTTTTCCTTTTTTTTTTTTTGGAGAGTTGGGGTCTCTGGCATAATGATAGCTCACTGCAGCCTGGACCTCCTGGGCTTAAGTGATCCTCCCACCCTGGCCATTATCTCTTAGTAGAATCTCACCTTTAGCAATTAAGTCTTCATTCTAGTGTTTTTACTGAGTTATATTTTTTCAAATGATATATATATACATATATATTACTAATTCTATCTTAAAAAATAACAAGATGTTTACATATAGATTTGTTCTGAGGCTGGTTAACTTTGAGGATTGATACAGTATGTCCTTTATATATGGGCACATATATAATATAATGAAGAGCACATTCTTAAGTCCACTTTGTTCTTAAGTCCAACAAAGTTAGCCTAGGTACACAACTAACACAGCTGGCTATACAGTACAGTACTGTACCAGCTATATCACTGCTGCTTTTATGCTTGCATCCTGGGCTTAAAATAAAGATACTGTACTACTGTACTCTATACAGTATGGTAAAGTACACAAAAGCACAACCACTTGTAGAGGATGCATGCACGTGACAATGTATGTCAGACATGTGAACTAATGTACATGACTGGACATGTGAACGCATGTTTGCATTTTTGAAAGTTGGCAACTTGAAAGCTTGTATGTAGGGGACTTACTGTACTTGGGAGAAGGGAGGCACTTGTTTTTTATTTTACACTATTTGTGCTATTTGAATTTTCTAGTCATATAAAACAACAAAGAGATTTACACAAGTGATGGAATTATGGGCCATCATAGCTTTCTCATTTTTAGTTTTCTGTATTTAAAAAAATGACACCATTTTAAAAAATGTGGCAGTGGTACACTGAATACTAAATTAAACCTTCTTGAGCTTACTCCAAATACCTGGTAATAAGTTCAATCAAGGTACAAAGATGAAGCTGCTACTCCAAAACACAAACCACAGGGAATAAAAACAAACGTAAGAAAGACAGAACACTATTTCTCCTTCTGGTCTTTACAGGATCCCAATGACATTTTATTGCAATGGGACCACATTGTATGACATTAAGCCCTGACTCCAGGAGGCAACAAACCACCTCCTTCTCACAATGCTGTCTCTTTCTCAAAACAATGTAAAAGAGAACTCTCCAGATATTCTGAAAATTCAGCTTCTATTCTGAGAAAAATATATTAAATAAACTTCTGAATTCTCTGATATTGAGGAAATTAAACAAGTGTCTTAACTTTCATCCACTGGGAATCATTCAGAGCTAAGATCTACTAAAGTGAACATAACTTTAAATAAAATCTCTTTAATCTAACCTTATTTTTTTAATCTTTAATGTTTTTGTTTTGTCTAACAGCTCATATTTTTCCTATATTTAAACTTTTCTGTCTGTTTGGTTTGACACACTTTTACCTTTTATAAAAGTCAATGACTATTTAGTTGAAGGAAAAAAGAGAAATTACTCGCTAAGTTTGTTGCCGAGTTCTTGAAGAGCTTGTTCTTGTTCATGATATATTTTTTTCAATTGCTGATTTTCATCCTGGAGGTTAAGGAACTCCTTCAGAACAATAAAAGACAGAAAATGCAATTTAAAAGAAACAAGAAACACCACATTGTGTATATGCCATTAACAACAAATATCTTTTAGCTTTTTGTAAGGAACAGAACTATGTTGCCGAAGTGCTTTCCTACCTGCTCTATGTATCAACCATTCTCCGTCTCCATTCACTTAATTGTCTGACTGGTTTTTTGTTTTTTGGGGTTTTAGTCAGAATCTCATTCTGTCACCCAGACTGGAGTACAGTGGCACACTCACAGCCACCACAGCCTGGACATGCTGGGCTCACGAGATCTTCTTACCACCGCCTCCCAAAGTGCTGGGACTATAGGCATGAGTCACTGCACTAGGTCCCCTTACTAGTATTTTTTAAGATGACTAGATGACTGTTTCCTTGGTATCAATGTAAATCATGATTTATCTTTTAAAGTAAGTTAACATTCACCAAGATATGATTTTCAAAGTTTTACCACTATTTACTTTTTTAAGACTAATGATTTGTTGAGTCTCGTTTCTAAGATGAGATAAGGCATCTTTCTCCTTCTGAAGATCTTCCTGCAAAGTCTGCCTCCATTCCTTCTCAATCTTCAGATCAGTTTCTAGTTGTACCCTTGAATGACAAACAATACACAGAAACTCAGTAATATTTCTCACATGACAACTGTAAGAATTTTTTAATATGAGTATCTTTTTGGTTGATTACTTTGGCTTTTTTTTTTTTTTTTTGGTAGCCTGTTGCCCAGGCTAGTGTCAAACCCCCGACTTCAAGCGATCTTCCCACCTTAGCCTTCCAAAGTGCTGAGATTACAGGCATGAGCTACCACACCCAGTCCCTGTAATCCATTTCTGCAGACATTTTCTTTCATAAATATTTTTTAGTAAACAAGTTCAACAGCACAGGGTTTTTCAGTCACATAGTAACAATTCATTTGCCAGTCACAAAAAAAACAACCAAAAAACCCCCAAATCCTTACTAAACAATAACATATCGTTTATTTAAATATATACATACACATATACATATATATGTTGTATAAGTATAGAAAAATGGCTTGGAAAGACACACACCATACTATGAAAATTGGTTACAACTTGAGAACAGAATTAGAGAAGGAATGTGGGGCTGCAATAATTTATACTTCTATGCTATAATGTTATAATAATTGATACTTCCAGCTACTTGGAAGGCTGAGACGGAAGGAGGCTGTGGTGCCCAGGAACGTGCCACTATACTCTAGCCTGGGCGACAGAGTGAGACTCCCAATCAATCAATCAATCAATCAATCAATACGTTTTTTCCCAGGTGCTCTGGTTTCCTCACATCCCACAGATGGGCACATTAGGTTAGCTGGTATGTCCACATTGCCCAGTCTGAGTGAGTGTGAGTCTGGGTATGTGTGTTAGGGAACCTGAGATGGAGTAGTGTCTCAGCTCAGGCTGCCTTCCTCCTCATGCCTGAGCAGCCAGGAGAGACTCTGGCATGGGTGGCCATGACTCTGAACTGGAATAACTGGGCAAATAATTTTTTTTTAGATTGGAAAATATAGTTTATTTAGAAAGTGAATGTGTGTGAGAGAGAGAGAGAAATTCACCTCCCCAAGGTAGGGGAGGGAACCAAAGCTAGGAAACATGGCAGTCATAGCTCAAAGGGCCAAGGGGCCTGACCAGACGTTAACAAAGTAATGGCCATCAATATCTAATATTAGAAGTGTTTTGGTTGTTATTTAGAAATCAGTGTTGTTTTTATGACCAGAAATATGCCATAGGAGCTTAGTTCTTATTTATATAAATTAGCCTATGGTCTCATTATGCATCATTATACATTGTTTTGCTTAAAGTCTTAGTTTCCAAAAACCTACCAACAACATTATGGGAGAACTTATTGCATATTACAAACATGGAAGCTACCAAAGTACAGAGTACCCTGTTGAGTAGCTTCATTATCCAGGATTAAGAAAAAAACAAGTGAAAAGCCAATGGAAAAATTTTGTGTTTAATTTACATAAATATATACATTAAAAATTTACATGTCTAAATAAAAAATAAAATTTTAATAAAATTTTAAAATAATAATTTTAGAAAACATTTCACTAAAGTGAAAGACCCACACTAAACTAAATAAAGAGTTCTTCAAATAAATATTAAAAAGCTGGCTGGGCGCAGTGGCTCAAGCCTGTAATCCCAGCACTTTGGGAGGCTGAGGTGAGGGGATTGTCTGAGCCCATGGGTTCAAGAACAGCCTGGGCAACTTGGCGAGACCTCATCTCTACAATAAATAATTTTTTAAAAAATTAGCCGGGCATGGTAGCATGCACCTGTAGTGTCGGCTACTTGGAAAGCTGAGACAGAAGGATCGTCTGAGCCCAGCAGTTCGACGCTGTGGTGGCGTGAGCATGCCACTACACTCCAGCCTGGGCAAGAGAGGGACACTCCAATT